GATTAGATTGAAATTTGACCAATCACAGTAAAGTTTACTAATCTCAAGTTTAGTAACTTTTACTCCAATTGGTCAAATTTCAATCTAATCCCAATCTCAATCCGTAGTCTGATACGGGCTTTATTGGCTCTCGCAAGCAATCCAGTAGGAAAAAATAGTGTGCCGTTGGCTTAAGACACAGAATTGACCATTAGAATGTTCGCATACGTTTCTCTTTCGAATGCGCTCAAGAATCAAGCTCTCGTCGGCAGGAATGTTCGACGAACGCGGGAACAGGTGCAGATAGAAGTATCTGCGGTGTAACTTCGAGCGGCGCATATATCAGAATCAGATGCGCATAATCAGACGTAAACAATCCTGTTACTTATCGATACGGTACGCGACTCCGGCTAGATACACAACGTCGAGCGAATGTAATCGCAATGCAAATATGTTGCAATCGCGTACGAAGACGACGGTGCTCAAATAGTTTCTATCGAATAGCACAGGTGATCGTGGCGCGAAAAGAATTCACGTTTGTTTTTTTTAATTCTTTGTGAATTTGCGCGATCTGTTTAAAAAAATGCTTTCCGGTGCGAATTTTCACGGTTTGTAAGAGTTGAATTTCTTTTTGCATCCGAAAAAGAGCCGAAATTAGCGACATGAAAGCGCGTTCTTCTCCAACTCTTAAAGATCACGTTTTTTAGAAACGGAAATAGGATGGGGAAGAGGAATTCATGTCGCGATTCAGGAATTCGAAAAGAGTTTCTTCGCTATCTGAAATGGAGAACAGGCGGACTCGCCTCCGGATTCGTTCCGATGTTCGCGCGAAAAGACTCGAAGACGACAAAGTTCATCAGTTCGATATTCGCGAGAGACGTAACTCTTTCACGACTTATTTATTGTTTTTTTTTTAAGCGAGACACTAGCGTCCCAAGGAACCAGAGAGGCAGAAAATCTAAGCGGGACCAACGTATGGAGGAAAGTTCTCTATTATGAGATAGATCTCTAATACGAGATAGCAGGTTTTCAACGCCCAAATTCAATCACAAATCTTTCTTCGCAACGATTACACGATCTGACAATGGATTTTCCGCTGAACAAATTTCGTTCCAGCGGCAATAAATTCATGGTGGGATCAACAGATGAAGGCCCGAACGCGCGAAGCAACTTAAGCAGTAAAACTTAAAACTTATACAGCGGCTTTCGAGGACGCGAGCAGCCATTTTGAAACTTTAAGCAACGCCGAAAATTTCGATTGGTTGAAATTCTCAAGTTTCCAGTCTCGCCGCTCAAGTTTCTTCGCGCGTTTCCAGCTTCACGCTTATTAATTTAACAGAAACTCCGCGCTATCCGCGTATTAGAGTCCTGTCTCATAATAGGGGACTTTCCTCCGAAGGTCCCGAAAGGTTTAAGGCTGATTTATGCAATACCGTAACCGCTAACCTACGCCGGAATCGGTAAAAATTAACCAATTGCAAACTGTTCTCCTCAACTTTAACGACGACTGGACAAGTTTCACCGATCCCGGTACAATTTAACAGTTACGGCCTTGCATAAACCAGCCTTTAAAGAGAAACGTGGACGTGACGGACGACCGTGCAGGTATGTGCGCGCGCGCGCGCGCGCGCTCAGGTACACGTGCGCGGCGCGCACGCTTGCGCGCACGCACACACAGGTGCGTGCGTGCGCTGCGTGTCGCGCCTACCTCGTCGCGCGCCTTCTCCTCCCCCCCCCCTCCCGCCGCCGCGCGTTACATCGCCCACCGCCCCTTCTCCCGCCCCCGCCGTCGCCCAATCGCCCAGCCCGTGCGTTACGTGCCCCGATGCCGCGCACCTTGGTTTCGTGACTCGCATCGCGGCACCTCTCTCACGGCTCCCGCGCGGCGCGGGCACGAGGCTGGTGACGTCGGGCCGCATCGCAGCAGGTAAACGTTCCGTTTCTTCTCGCGGCCAGCGCGCGACCGCGCTCTCCCGCTACCTGGGTGTCCGCGCCGAGGGCGTCTCGCGCGCGCGCGCGCGCGCGCGAGAGAGAGATACCTAGATCGCCGACGGAGAGGCCCGCCCGAGTCGCCGACCGGGGAATCCCCGGTTCGCCAACAGTCGCGTCCGCGCGTGGCCGATCGCCCCGTCGTCGGTCCCCGCGTCTCTCCCGCGGCGGAACGTTCCACGTGAGAATGACAGTCTCGGGCTCCACATCCGGGGACACTCCCTTTTAGCCGAGCGAATTCAATGGTGCGACGTGCGTGCGTGCGTGCGTGCGTTCGCGCGCGCGCGTCGACGAGTGCCGGGATCCCAGATAACATGCTTGTCTAAAAGACATCTTCAAGACCTCTTTAAGACGTCTTTAAGATATCTTTTAGACGTGTATGTCTAAGGCCCGGTCTACAATGAGTCGTTAGTCCTTAGTCAGAAGTCGCAACTATATGTTGATCCTTTTCCTTTCTGGGTGGAAGGAAAAGGACCGACATATAGTTCCGACTTCTGACTAACGACTCATTGTAGACCGGGCCTAAAAGACGTGTTAAAGACATCTTAAAGATGTCTTTTAGACATGCATGTTATCTGGGATGTTAGGCGGCCCGGAAATCGAGAGAGTGCAAAGCGTCGGCTGATCGCGATCAGTTTAATCTTGCCGTCCTTAATATTCTACAAACGTTGTCCTCGACCCTTTCGCGACAGGATTCGTGTCCAGGCTCCCGCCGATGTAAACGCGTTTCTTTTACCAACGGGACGCACGCCGGGCCTCTTTTTAAATTTCGTCAGCGAATCCTCTTTGATCGCCGAGCCCGGACGGCCAGTGCGAGCACAAGTTGCTTTCCGTACTGCTAACAAAAATGTTAGCGTCTCGCTGTGCACCTACGTCGTCTATTGTGCTGTTGCTCGCCAGCACTTCATGCCGGAAACGAAACATTTGCCAAACATTACGCTCGCATTAAGTGCTCGGCCAGATGCACTATATATGTATAACATGTTTATATCTGTTTAGAAAATTGATAACAGTGTGTGCTAACTCTTTGTTAACAGTATGCCCTGTTCGACGCGCTCTCTCTTTAAGCCTCGTCTACAATAGTCGCGCAGGCTGTGTCGCGTGTCGTACGAGAATGCCGTAAGTATATTGTTCCCGGCTGTCGCAGAAGCCCCTGTCGGAGTTGAACCAACTTCAACCTTCTGCGACTGCGACAAGTCGCACGAGATCGGCCAATCGTATTACGTTGGCGCTAAAAGTGATTTGCCTCGCGTTGCTGGCAGCTAGCTGATCCGCAGTGAATTCTCTCATTAATGTTTTGTATTAATGTAAACAACGTATTGTAGAAAACGGAAGCCGAGGACAGTCTTATTGTTAGCGCAGACAAGGAGACAATGGCCTTTGTCCGCGCAAACCCCCCTTGTTGTGGCAGAAGCGTGTTACAATTAATCAAAAGGACAAGAATATCATCAATCAAGCGTTTTCGCTGAGCAAACGGTAATATAAGGACAGTAAGTTAAAAAATTGGGAGCAAAGCTGTAGAAGGATCAGTAATCGCCGGGCATCCATTGTGGCTGCGTTCGATTTGACGCTATCGCGAATCTTTGCGACTATTGTAGACTATTGCGACACTCATGCGACGCAACCTGTGCGACTATTGTAGACGAGGCTTTAGCTGTACCTGAACTCAAACATTGAATTCATACTCCTAGCATCAGATGCTGTCATTTTATTTCCATACGTTGCTTGAGCACACCGATGAATTTAAAAGAAAGCGAATGACACGACGGGGATTCTCACGTGCTCACTGTTTTCCGCAGTCATGAGCTCCGAGGATACAACCGACAATGCGGCGGCAGCCAATCCCTCCGGCGTGGCAGCGCAGACGAAGCATTGGGTCCAATTTGACGAGGAGGCCGAGCCGGGGGAAGCCGTCGGCGCCAGGGGTAAAGCGGCCGGCAACAGTAGCGCGCCCGCCGTGATTAAACCTGAATCGGTCACCGTGCAGGTCGACAAGATCGGCAAGAGCGCCGAGCCGGCCGACGTCAACGACAGGCGCGGCAACGAGTACAGGGGTGCTGTGATAGCAACCGAATCCGTCCAGATTAACTTAGATAGGTCAGGCTTAAGTCGCTCCATCACATCCGAGACGCCGGAGCCGAAACTGCCGTTGTCCGACGTGCGCGCCAAGTCCGAGGCCAAGAGCGCCTCCCTGAAGACCATCGATCTGCGGGACGTGTCCAACGGCAGGAACGCGCCGAGCAACGTCGTCAGCACGTCGATCGGGAACATCAGGCAGGGCTTCGCCAACGGCGACACCATCGTCACTCTCCTGCCGGTGAACACCAAGTGGCCGTGGATCACCCCGGCCAGATTCAGGCCGGAACTGGTGCCGGAGGAATTGATGGCGCAGGGATTAACCGTAAGTATAATTCGCCGGGTCTTCTTCTCGAGGCCTGATGGGTCTCCTAGAGACGATCACCCCCTAATTTCGCCACGGGAAAGGATTGTGAGCCTCTCGTCCTCCGCGGAGCATCGAATTTTCTTTTCGGAGCAACTTCTTGTTTACTTTCCCTCTATATAAACAGAGTGATTTATTCCTCAGTCAGCTTGGAATTAATCTTCCGATATCTCGTTTTTATCGCAGTGGATTGTCTTGAGAATTCCCAGTACGCTGAGCGAGGTTTACGGCAATCGAATATCAGAGGCTTTGCCTGATAAGCGATCACGGCAGCTTCGAGTTACTTAACACCGCAATTATCATATTACTTTTAATATATATATATATTTTATTTATTTTATTTATATAAAATTCTCTCACCTGTATCATATTTAAACGTGCAATAATATTCCTCTACATATTTATGAATTTTACGGGGGATAATCCTCCACTTTTGTGCGTGTACAAATTATAAGCTGCAATTTGAAAAATAAAAATATTTAATATAGAAATACTCTTACGCGCTTCCTATATATATACTCTAGAAAGGGATAAAAACGATCAGCAGTTTAACGAGATAGATGTGTTGCAGCTCACAGTGGAAGATTACGTTCACATAATGGAATTACTTGTGAACGATGTACGCTTCAATATGTATAACATATGCTACAAGAGGATTCTCGTCCTTTGGATATTCACCGCTTTCGTCGTGCTGCTCGGTCTACTGTTCTCCGGCGTGACCGGCCTCACTCTGTTCGGGCTCGGTGTTATGTGGTTAGTCCTGAATGCAGCCGCAATATTCTTCTGCATGTTCATCAAGATTAAGCTCAATCACAACCTCGAGAAATGTATGGCTCAAGTTAACAAACATTTATTAAGGCATAAAATATTGCTGGGATTAGACGACAGAGGGAAGATCTCCTGCCACAAAGTCAACCTGTGTTTCATATACTTTGATACTACGGATTGCGTTGTAAGTGAAGTTTTTTTTTTCGTCGAAATATGATTCGATATTATTTTTTTTTATATAAAATTTGGCACGAAGATAAATATTTGCGTGGATAAATATTGCGTAGACACGAAGTGACGCTGTAATTATATTTTTTAATTATTTATAGAGAAAAGTCCTCTATTATGAGATAGGTTTCTAATGGGACATATAGCAGGTTTTCAACACCCAGATTCAATTACAAATCTTTTTTTCGCAACGAATACACCAATATCAATTTTCCGCTAAACAGATTTCGCTCCAAAGGCAATGAATTCATGGTGGAATCAACTGATGCATATTAATTTAACAGAAACCCCGCTATCCCACATTAGGATCCTATATTGTAATAGGGGACTTTCCTCTACATGTGAATCTGCAAGAGACTAATAGACTTACTTTGTGGCTATAGAAAAAGCTACAGGAAGTGATAGAACGGGAAGAACGCGAAGGTAGAGTAATTGGTGGCGATGATGCAAGCGATTTAAGCCGACAACGAGAATTGCAGCAGCGTATGGATATTGACGACGGTGATATTGTTATACAAGGCAGCACCACTACAAGAATCTCTCGCAAACAGGTAAACCGTGTGTTCTTGTTAATATTTTGGCTTAATAACTTTTTATATTTCCGTATATCCAAAGTTCTTTTGATTTTATTTCAATTAAAACATTTTCCTTTATTAATTTATTTTATTGTACATTAATATTTTGAACATTTTATCGATTGGGCTACATATTGAGAAGCTAAATATAAAAGCGCTAGCTTCCTCCCCTCTCCCTTTTATTAAATTAACAATGTGTGAAATAAGGCAAAAAGTTGCAGCTTTGCTACCAATTCTCTTTAATTTGCTTCCTTTTCACTCTTTTCTGCCCTGTTTTAAAGTGCGAATTAATATATACTTGTTTTTGTTTCATGTACAGTGAAGGACAGAATAGTTGCAACACTTTGTTCTTAATGAGTTTAGGAACGTGTATTTAGATTCAGGTTTACATTCCATTCCAAAATCTTCTCCGAGGAATAATTTACTCGATGGCCACTCCGAAATCCTTTTGAGCGTTTTCGATTATTTATTTCTCGAGTAAAATTTTCCCCAGAGAAAATGTTTTGGAACGTAAACCTGAATTTAAATGCGCGTTCCTAAATTCATTTTAAAAAAAGTGTTGCAACCATTCTGTCCATCACTGTACAGAAGAGAAAAAAATCTCTGTGTGACACTGGCACCCCTTTAGCTCTTCAATATACGAGCCTCAATTCTGTATAAATTCAACTTACGTGCGAGATTTGACGTTTACTGACTGCATAAGTTGTATTAAATATTTTGTTGTGCATTTGCATTAAACTACCAGGGTAAAAATGAGCAAGTATTCTGCCGTTATGTGCAACGTTGGGCGAAGGATTACTTGCGTCGACGTTTGGATTGGACAGTTGACGAGGAGGGTGGAAATCCTTCTTCGCCACGTCACTTAGCGTCCGCCTTATGTCCTTGTCAATATATAGAGGAATGGTTACGTAATAAGCCACGCATTCAGGGCAGAGACTTTTGTCCTAGGTGGAGCAACTTTCTTAGAGATAGAGGCATTTGAGAGATACGATTGTTCCATGCTGCTTATAAGAAAAGCTATATACATTGTATATGCGGTTTCACAATTGCTCGCGCACAAAAAAATTCCAGAGGTTTTATAAATTATTGAATTCCCTTCAATAGCTTCCAAAGAAAATTGCTATTTACTTCGATCGGCTTGCAAATGGTATAATCTTTTCTTCAAGATTAATCTTCGTTCACCAGACGTTCATTAAAGTGGCCACTTTTTTTCTTGTAAAAGTAAGCTAAAACGCACAACGTGTACGGATAAACAGTTTTTAAATCTAAATTAGACATTTGTTGCGTGGTACAAAAATCGTCAGGAAACTTTATTCTCATAAATTTTGTTAAAGCTAATTTTTAATATGCTTTCGAGCATAGTGACATAATTACTCTGCAATATCCCGATCATTGTTTCTTATTATTGTATTTGTTATATTATTTTTGGAAATTACGTTTATTGATTTTATGCCATTTATATGCGTTAAATTTTTAAGTATTTTGAATGTACTTAACATGATTTATCTAGAATTTATCTATATTTATCGAAATATTTTTATCTAGATAATCATTTATCTAGAAATATCAAAGCTAACTAGTACATGATAAGCGACAATATCTGACTCAAAGATTAAAATTAATATAACTGTAGAGCTATATAGAACTATACAGAATACAGCGGAACCGTCTTTCGTTTTTAGATCAAGACTCGTATTTACATTCTACGTTTAATGCTAAATGTGGTGTTTATACGTTATGTTTTTACTTATATAAGATGAAGATTACATTCAGTTGTACCATAACGTGAAGATTATGCCACATTTAACGTTAAAATTAACAATAGATCTGTGTCTTAACATAATCCATAGAGATAGTGAGCAATGGATATTTTCTATTTGAACATTCCAGTAAATCGTTTCCGTTGGGAGGCAGTTAGTATTCGGAAAAATTTTTAGGGCTGTGTCAAACCTTATTTATTCTGACAAGTGCTGACAAGGAGTATTCTCCTCTTTTTACTAGAAATATTTTGATGCCCTAATTATATGTAACGATCTTGATCTTGTTGAAATATATACATATATATATTGTGAAAAATATATACCTGTAAAATGGTGAACAGAGTTTTAAAATTGGTAATGTGGACATGCATTTCATATAATGACGAAAAAAATCTACTTTTAAAAAGTTATTATCAAACATAATCGAACAAAGTCAGAGACATATCATTGGACACTTTTTTTACAAACTGAACTACTAAAGTATATTATTTATAAATATCAGTTCTCAATAGTTATATATAACATTGAACTTGTACTTGGAGTAAACAAACTTGAGAGAATTTCTTGACAGAAAATTGAAAGAGGGAAAGGTGTGTGAAAGAGAAACCACACATTACTGTTTCGCGAAAGCTGAGGCGAAGGGTTCTACTGAATGATGATGGTGTGTGTTGACAGGAACGGGCGGAGTTGCTGTTGCTGAGGTATGCGTCTCGATGGGCACGTCACTTCGTGCGTCGCAGACTTGATCTGGTTATAGACTCGCAGGAACGTGATAGAGGCGTTACGGGTCTGTCTGTTCCACCGCGCCATTGTGTCTCCGCCCGTTGCCCTTGTCAATTCATTGAGGACCATCTCAAACACAAGCCGAAAGGCAAGTTGACGTTACGTAAATTCTTTCTAATGCCAGACTTCACTAGATGACTGCCAATGGAGACTGATATCACTTTGAAAAAGAAAAGGGCACTTTAGAGTCTTACGGTGAAAATCCTGGACAAAGAAACTACGCTGATGTGTCTCTGATACTTTAAACGACTTAATGTTGTACAGTTGTTTGTTATTCATTAGCTCATTCAACAATCATCCTTTTTACGATATTAATAGATTATAAGCGCAACGTAATTACGTTAGTCATATAGTCTTGCAGGATAACTATCCATTTGTGGTTTTAGTATTTGTTTAGATTGTACTATTTTATTATTACATGGTAGCATGGAACGCACAATTAATGGGATGAAAAATTCATACATCGAAAAATATCAATATATATATCATATATCGTATATATCATATATATATATCAATATTTATGTTCGAGTGAATTTTGTTGAAACTTGCAACGATCATAGATCGAGACTGTCTACCTTTATTAGATCACATTCCATGTGCTGATAATTTGTTGAAAAATTAATGCGTTTAAAGAGAGATATTAATATATCGTGAAAAATGTTTCTTACATTATATCTGTTATTTAAAATTTTGTTATACGTATGTGTGCTTTCTTTATATTATCATATGTATTCTCATACCACGTTGTTAGCTTTGCTTTTACTTGCACTACAATCTTTGAGAATTTTTTGATAAATATCAATATCGATTTTTTAAATTTCATTTGCAGCTACGCTTGATCGCGTCGTTAAATAACATGTCAAGTCACATGTACATGATATACATATCGTACGATAATACGTGATAATACTTCGCAGCTTTCGAGATATAATTGTAAAGAATGCTAAAAGTAAGGAAGAAACTTTGTCCCGAGCATACTTTTCAGATCTTAAATCGCGCAACGCTGAGCTAAAGCAAACGAAATTGTTCGCCATTTTAAAAGGTAAAATTTATTTTCCACAATTTGAAACAATACAACGGCATGGATATTATTCGCCTTCTTACTAAGGCACGCACAACTTGCGTTTGTTTATTTGTGACTAATATAATTTAATCAAAGATTTTGTTATTACTTATAAGATTGAGAGTTCCTCTTCGTGAGGAGTAATAATACTAGTACGATAAGGATTCGACACCGAACGGCACTATCGTACTCGATAGTGCCGTTCGTCGTGTTTAACTCGTCTTTATTTTCGGATTAAAAGAGAGCTTTTTCGAGCCTTTATTATATTCCTTATAGGTCTGAGGTAAAGGCATTAATTCCTTTAAAAGTATGAGATTTATATATATAAAAAACAGGGTATGTTGTCCACATACACTGATATTTTTTCAGAGCGGGATCGTCGAGTGTATAACTGTTTGATAAAAGTGATGAATCCCACAAGACAATAAATCTAACAATTATTTGATATTAATGTGTTTAATTTAACGCTTCCATTTAACGCTGGCACGTCCTCGATTTTGCAGTTCTCTTCGAACCGTTGCGACACAACGAATTTGAAAGGGAGGAAATTCTAACCCACCTGTCCTGATGTTTTCGAGGGTGCTCTTTCTAATGGTGCCTATGAAAAATAAAAAAAGAAAAGCCGCTATTTTGGTTTACCATCGCCGAAAATTTTCTTTCCCACCGTGGTAATTTTAAGTTTAGCCATCGAGGACGCGATATTTATCGGTTTTGAGCTGGTCCCCAGCCCAGGGAGATGTGGGAAATTGATTTTTGATCGACATCTTGAACGATGTCGATCAAAAAATGACGATGTTTCGAATGAAAATTGATTTTTCTCATATTAGGCTTTTCTTTTTTTATTTTTCATTGGCACCATTAGAAAGAGCACCCTCGAAAACATCGGGACAAGTTGATTAGAACTTCCACCCTTTCAAATTCATTGTGTTGCAACGGCTCGAAGAGAACTGCAAAATCCAGGACGTTTCGGCGTCAATGGGTTAAGAACATTTTGGGATTTCTTTGGACTTTGTAAGCGTTCGGTCTATTTTCTTCGGTGCAATCGTACATGTACTATCGTGGAGAGCAGTTGATCACGATAAAATTTATTATCGTAGTCAATGCTACGAAGTGATTCACTCTCAGCTATGTTATAAGTACTGCTATACAAATTAGTGATACATTGTATGCATCACGCCATCGCGCGTGCGCTTGCACGCGATTTTTAAATGTATTAGGCATACACGAGATATGAAAACTTACATATTTGTTACATCCGTCCTGAAAATCTGCATAGACGTAAGCCGTAGTTAAGATGTAATATACTTTTATATTGTGTTTACAGAGTACTTATTGCAGAATCCACCACAAAATTGTAATTGTACAGAACAGCCGATTCCTATAATATACAAACTGTAAAGCACTTTTATATGACTGTTAAAAATGTTGTGGAATAAAATATACATATGTCTATTCTTTACCATGCCGTGTGTTTTTATGTGAAAGCAGCAAGGCGGCGATTGAACATTATCATCTTTATGTAGTCTTGAAGCTCGTATTAACTTTTATGTAGTGCGTATTAATATGTAACTAACATGTACTAATCTTGAGGGATTCCTTGCATGCAGCCGGACGGAAGATGATGAATCTCAGTATATTACCTCATCCACATATCATCAGCACGTAATAATATTCTCTAATATTATGTAAGTATTACACCAAGAAAGTTCTATAACGCACTCGCTAGTGAATACAGTTTTAATTGAATAAAACGCAAGAAATTTGATATTCATATTTAAAAATGTGCCTCAATTATTCTAGCGCAATTAAATTGATCGAACTCGGTTTACATTTTACATACCGGAACAAAAATTGAATTCTAAAGTTAGCTGCACCTTGATTACACGGATAATTTTTTCTTGCACAACGATATCCAATTTGCTGAAAGGTCTTTGCGTGTCGCGTGATTAGCAAGAAGAAACTCTATACCTATTATTATTCCATTAATTTGATGCTCAATTATTTCCTGCCTTGCATGCATGGTTATTTGGGAATTGTGCGTCTAATAACACCTCGAAATAGTAAAGGAGAAAAAGATATTTAAAACACAATCCTGTTCGGCTGTCTTTTGTATTCTTCGTAGTTTCAAAATTCTTTTACACACACACACACACATACACACGTTTATTTTCCCAACCTTTCTAGTCTTAAACATAGATGAAAGCAGCTAACATTATAATAAAAAATGTTTTAAATTCGAAATAACTTTCTTTATTGAACATTAAACGACTGCATATCTCAAACGTATCCTGATATCAAGAAACATTCAAGTATTGTATAATTGACTCTAAGTTGACGTTTTTGTTGTCCAACACATTTTATTGTGTAAATTTTCATTATACGTATAAATTTATATTCAGTGGCAAATATTTGTAAAGATACGAAAAGAATATCGTATGTCAGGGTATGTTTGCATTCTTAATTATTCCTAATGTATATATTAATCTGTCGATGTGACTTTTCCAGGATATCCACCAGGATTTACATGGTGTGCCTACCTTAGTGAACCTGTGAGCCGATTTGATATGGTACCAAGTTTCTCCCAATAGTTTCTGCCCTTACAGATCGTGTTGATATAATACCATTTCGCGTGAATTTATATATAGAAACAGATGAGCTATATATCATAAAACAAGACGTACCGTTGTATGTACACTAAGAATCACTGATGCCTTCCTATACGAGTTTAGACGCATGTAGAACACAGCGGGGAGCACATATTTTTGCATAAGTTCATGAGCAAATGCATAACGAATTTGATTGGTCTATCCCAGATAGCACAAGACACTTCTATGAACATTTTAAGAATATTCTTCAAGAATATTTGGAATATTCCATAGGTCATTCTTATATATTTATCTTATGTTCGTGGAACATACGATTGGCACTACTATAAATCTTTTTCGAACGTGAATAGAATAATCTGTCGAATATAGCGTGTCGGTTATATATGGGTGTGATCACAGGTATCACTGCCTTTTGCATAAGATAAGTGTATTACACAATAAACAATGTGCAATACATAAACTCGATGAATATTCAAAAATTATTCTGAACGTTCCAAAGACATTCTTGACGAATATTCTAAAAACGTTCTTCTTTGTTATGAATATACGATTTCTAATTGTAATAATCTATATATATATTTATAGAATATTCGATTGCATAAGGAAATGGACCAATCAAATTCGTTATGCATATGCTTATGCACTTATGCAAAAGTGTGTGCTCCCCGCTTTACACATTTTCCATGTGCAAAATGTATAAATGCGTTAGTATTTGCACAAATTCATGTGAGAAGGCATCGGTGATTCCTAGTGTACAACGAGAGCTATTTGCGCGTTAATTTCAACCGTATACCTTTTGTTAGCGCAATTTTTCTAGATATAGCGAGAGTTTATATTGTTATCAAGTTTTATAAACTTATATATTTTTTATAACTATATTCTTTGATGTTAGCAATTATTAATCTGTTTTCGAGCTTCTGATCGTTTTTTAATATTATCTTTAATAAATTGCTCAATGGCATACAGCGTTTCGGTGGTTCAAATTATCGGTTAGAGTTGCTTGATCTCTTATTCGGAAACTATTCACAGAAACAATGAAATGATTTTCCGAAATAGTTGTGCGCACGACACAGTATTACGAGATATAAGTATCCTTAATTGTACCAATATATTTTTGTTGAACATAAGTAAGATATAATTAATATAATTATATGCCAAGATAGCCACACGCTTGACAGGCAACACTCGGTACTCTCTATTATTCAAAGAGCTGTAAAAAAATGTCAAGTAGAGTATGCCGTTTCGTAAGAAAACTATAATACGGGAACTACAAAAAATAGTAAAAAAAATACTCGATAAAAATTTATAATAAGTCTCTCCTTTTTTTTCATCACGTTACTCGATTAGTGCAATTTTTGTCTGAAGTAACTTTGGATAACTCTTTGAATAACCGAGGACTATCGTACGGTTCCTCTTAATTAGGGCTACTTCGCATATCTCTAAAGGCCATTCTACAAGTGCGTAAACATAGTTGTAGGGTTGTAGGAGCAGAAGTAGTAGTAAGTGTTGTACATCAAAGTAATATACAATAGAGTAAGATACGTCGTAATTGAAGCGAATGATTGGTTAGCTTTTACGTCCTACATCGTTGCAGTCGTGAAAGATGAAGTTCAGCCATCTTTTACGACAGACTTTACAATCGGAAATGCTAGTTTAAAATTGTGTTTTACAATACTGCACAACCGATAACAACCACGTTTACGCAATTGTAGAATGGCCTTAATGCGTAAAGATACTCGTACAATGTAAGAGTAACTTGTAAGTTTTTACACGCGAGAGGCGAGAGGAAATCATAAATCTTTATAAATGTTATCCACGATAAATGTGACAGATCAAAATTATCGTAGCATCGCGCTGCTACAAGTAGTTGCTAGACGTTAAGTTGTTATTGTGCCTTGTCATAAATTTTGTTGGGAAATTTCTCGTTGTACGAAGTACTATGTATACCATTAAATCGATCTGTGTAATCGTGTACCGTTTAGTGTACCAAAACATATGAACAAATGCGTATCAATGTTAAAAACATAAAGAGACTATTGACAAAGATTTTATCATTAAATATTATACACGACATTGTGATACGATTATTCAATGCATCTTACACGAGACATCGAATGTTTCCTTTTTAAGATCACAGACGCGAATTCAATTAGTCGAAAAGTATTTTCTAAACATATGACAAATAAATTTGTCTACTTTAAATAAGCGGAGGCTCCGAGGAGCTCCACGAAAAGGACAAGTAGAAACATCAGCTAAAGATTAACAAGAATTTTGGGTGGTAAACTATAATAAACTTAACATATCTATTTGCGATGACGAATTGTCAAAACCACTCAACATCACGCCACGTGACTAGTGTACTCTTGCAAATCTGAACTCATCTCTCCTCGTATATCACCAGAGCGGCTTGCGCCTGCTTCCTAATGTCGTCCGCGAGCCTCTTTATCTCCTCGTTGTCAGCGTGCATTTGCTGTCCCTCTTTCTTCAAGGTGTACTCCAGCTGCTTGAGCTGCTGTTTGGTATTCAGATAGGTTTTCACTTTCTTGTATATATCGTCAGAGTTGTCGATAGCCCTTGGACTGTGGGACTCCTTTACGGACGAATCGTCTGAAATCGTACGAGTATAAATCCTCGGTACATAAAAGTGAGCAAACAAATGCAAGGAAAGTTAAACGCAAGTTTCCCCACAGGTTCTATTCACACAGCATGAACAAGCAAATGTTTACTTGTAATTCTGAACGCTTTTTAAGTTGTAATGTTCTGTGAAAATTGTAGGTTTATTTCCTTGAAAATGACCACAATCCGGTTGGTAGAAATGTTGGAACAATTTAAGTAAACCACCTGCTAGTTAGGTCGCAGAGGACAGTTCCTCATTATGAGATAGGCTCCTGATATGAGATAGCGGAGTTTCGGCAAAATTAATAGGCATCATCTGTTGGTTCCACCATGAATTTATTGCCCTTGAAGTGAAATCTGCTTGCTGGAAAATTGATTGTTAGATCGTGTAATCGTTGCGAAAAAAAAAGATCGCAATTGAATTTGGACGTTGAAAACCTACTATCTCATAATAGAGGCCTTTCCTCTATAACAATTCTTTCTTTCGTTTACTTATAATCTTGAACGCTACGTCGTCCACCATGGCTCTGTCGAGGTCCTCCAGCATGTGTTCGCGGTCTGGTATGTGGGGCCTTGGTGGAAAGTTCTTCTTGTTGGCGAACATTATAGCGTTGATAACGCGGGGGTTGTATTCCTCTTTTGCTGACAGTGCGACCATCATGACGCCATGACAGCTGACCACGGTCTTAGGCTGGATTCACATGGAGCGTAAGTTGCGTAGAGTAACCTGCGTATCGCCAATCACAGGATAGTTCAACGGAATTATTGAAACGGTTCCACAGTGACTACGTTTCCACCGAGGGTCAGAGTCGGGCTAGAGTCGGGTCAGAATCGGGTTGGGGTGAGCGTTTTTGCGGTGGAAACACCTAACCCCAACCCGATTCTGACCCAGTTTGGTGATTGGTCATAACTAAAACATGTCGGATGCGCAGTACGGATCGGCGCGAACGTGAAACAAAAGAGCGAGTGCCCATACTGGTTATACTGTGCTATTGGTTGATATTTCCCAATATGGCGTCGTTTTGGAAGGCGCGGAAACAAATCAAAATTAGTTCACGGTGAGAGCACACCTTTTCTTCTTACATCATGGTTCTGCATGGTTATGCATACATTGCATACATTAATGCTCAGGTAAGTGACAATAATGAATGCGTTCCGGCGAGACACTGCTACCGTAGCGCTACAGCTTTTTCGCTACAATTGTAGCGGTGCCATATGTACATTAGCGTGCATAACCTCAAAATTGAATTGTAAGAGTCGCGTTTACCAATTAATTGAAACAAATAGAATGGAAAATATTGAAGATTGGCTCATGAATGACATATTGTTCGATGATTCATCAGATGAAAGCAATGTTAAAGAGGAAGAAGTTCCGCTACAGCGGTACGTTTTGCGTACGCACTCTGTAGCGCTATACCGTAGCGCTACCGTAGCGCTACGGTAGCAGTGTCTTGCCGGAACGCACTCATTGGCCTAGTTTACGTCGTGCACTTGATACGCGTATGTCCCAGTCTACAATAGATGATTTAAGCCCTAAGCTTTAAGAAATTGGCCAATCACGGTCAAGTATGAGTAGAATGCGCGACTGTGATTAGTCAATTTCTTAAGGCTTAGGGCTTAAATCTCTATTGTAGACTGGGACTATCAAGTAGTGTATTTGAGCTGATCAGCCAATGATTAAACTGATTTACTAGTTATTTACTATTTGATACGCGTACCAAGTGATCGATGTAAACTAGGCCATTGGGTCCAAAAAAAGATATGTGGACCATGTGGACAAAAGATCTGGAACTTACTTTAATATGTGAGATAAAAAATCGACCAATTTTATGGGATGTATCTCATCCAAAATATTCTCGCACTGACATAAAAAATATTTTTCGTCGCTTACACATATTGCGCCAATGTCGCTGTTGCATACGATACATCGTATAATTTTTTTACTTATCACAAATGTCAATGTGTGGAAAATGGCAACTACAATCGTAATTGCCAATCCTTAATTCAATGTGATTGACGAATTACCAATCGCAATCGTAATCGCCAGTCGGGTTGTCGTCGGCAGTTGCTAGTGTGATACCGGCTTAAGGCTGGTATTA